AATTATAGAATACGTATACTGAAAATGACAATTCAAACGTCAAATAAATTTTTAATAGATCTAAGTTTCATGGCAACCTTTAAGGATATATTAATTAAGGGAACATAAATGTATACGTCAAAGGTTAGATTAAAAGTTTGAACGTTTATTGCAACAAAACATTAAAATATATTAAAAAAAAATTGTAAAAACCTTTTTTTAGTTATGCAAATATTAAATATTTAAATTAAATCGCTAGTTTTAATTGGATAATTGAAAGAATGCATAATATTTTCAATAAACAGCCAATTAAAACAATTCAAACCGTCAAATTTTTTTTATTTTGCTCTTAAAATTTTAGTTATGACCTAATTAACAAGAATATAAAAAAAATTAGGTTTCACAGAAAGTCCAAAAATCACCTCTCAGAACAGCACCGTGTAATGGAAATTAAAGTGGTGCAATTTATTATCTACCATAATTTATTGACAAATTTAAAATTTTATTTAAAAAATCCAAATATTACAGATTTTATTCGATTTTAAATTTTTATTATTTATTTTATTAAAATAAAAAAATATTTAAAATGGTATAAAACCTGTAATATTTGGATTTTTTAAATAAAATTTTAAATTTGTCAATAAATTATAGTAGATAATAAATTGCACCACTTTAATTTCCATTATCTTAAATAGGGGGGCCTAGAGGCGGGTGAGGCGACAGGAAAAACTAACTTTTTTTCGCAAACTTCAATTTAAATTCTGTTTGCGCAGAACTTGTCTATTTAATGTCATTATAAACTATTATAAATTTGGTGTGGGTCCCATGTCTAATAACTGAAATATTGGTATACCCAAAATCCACCATCCGCCACTGGTTTATTCATAGTACGTTGTAGCATTTAATTTGTTTTATATGGCGGCTGTTATCATAGAAAGTTTTTATTTTGTTTATTTATTGATTTTTTCTGTGATTTATTGTCTTTATTTAATCATCTTTATTAATAATTTGTTACTGAACAACAGGTAAGTCGATTACATTAAAATCCATTAACATATCCAAAGAAAAATATTTTTAAATTTTTGAGAGACAGTATGAACAGTGTGGAAAACCAATTGTGTTCTAAAAAATAAATCTAGCAATATATAGGACGAGGTCAAAAAATGATACTTTTGAATCTGGTAAAGAAACATATCGATAAAGGAAAATCAAAAAGTGTAGGTGTAACATTTACATCCAAAGAAACTCACATTTTATAAAAAATACTTGAATAAAGAATGTATTACCAAAATTAGAAGGGAACAGTGTTATTGTGATGGATAATGCAGGGGCATAAAATATAAAAAAGTCCATCAGAAAAAAAGGACGAGAGTTTCTGTTAATAATCAAATGATGAAGGTCCAAATTTTCAATTTGGCAAAAAATTATAAAACTAAAATTTAAAAAAATATTCTAGGGAAATATTATTAGTAGGTATACCTAATGCCTACATTAAAACTTAAAATCTATGACCAAGTTGAAATTCTAATAAAAGTTTTATTAATTGCATTTATATTTTCATTAAACTTTACCTCGGAAAAAAATTAGATATTAGTTTTTTGAGTGGGGTAGTTACGTAAATATTACGAAAATATTTTCAATGTCACTTGACAGATTCCTACTATAACTTTTTTCTATGTCAAAATTCGAAAAAAAATATTAGGGTAGTTTTTTCGAAAAAAAGTACGCCACTGAATGCGGCATGCTTTAAAATGGCTACAAACCAAATTTTATTAAAAACGAACAATTTTAGACATTTTTTTTTAATATATTAAAATATATTTATAACGAAAAATAAAACACATTTAGGAGGTTAAGGAGAAAAATAAGTACGTAGGTACGCCACTGAACGCGGCATACAAATCTGTCAAGTGACATTGAAAATATTTTTTATATATTAGATAGAATTTTTATTCTCTATCTTTTGAGCCTTTGTTCATTAAAATCGAATAACAAATAAAAAAGTTAAGGGGGTGTTTCTATCCTAAATGGGCCACACTGTATATACCTATTATATTAAAAAATGCAATTTTTTAAATCAATGGATGTATGCTTACACTCAAATGAAAAATAGATTTTTTCTGTATATTTACCATTAAATTTTTCTTAGATTTTTAATAAAACAGTCTATTTCTTAATTTTACTATAAACTTATTAAAATTTGTTAAAACATTTAAGTATGTACTATGTTGCACATAAACAATCGCACTGAGTCAGTGCCACTGACATTTAAATAATGAATTAAGGTTATGTTTCTCAATTTAATTTTCTGACAATACAATTCATTAATATTAGAACCAATAAATTGCCAGCATTCCATAGTTACGCATTTTATCTCAGCGGCAATATTTTTTATCATCTTGTTGGGTGAAAATAATACAATACATATACGTATTTTATCTATTTTGCGTTCATAATGACTTCATTATAACACCGCTTTCGGTGCTGTAATGAGATGCTTTATCCCACCCAAAATTTTGATTTTATAGGTTGGCTATACTTTAAACAGCATAATATTTTGCATATTGGTTATAATATTTTTATGATTTTTCTAGTACTTACGAGATTTTTCTGGCAATAAATTTTGTTCAACACCAAAGAAAATCCTTTTTTTCTTCTTTAACATTAACAGCCGCTTATTGTAAATAAGTAAATTAAGGACGGCATGGCGAATCGATTTTGACATTAACTGTCAAACTAATGAACTATTTAAAGTAAAATTCGACCAGATTAAATTTTATTTATAAAATTAATTTTTTTTATAGAATTTCTGCAAAATAGATAAAATAGCATAAAGAACTCATGTCATAAGACCTTTTGTCATTACGTCTTATGACATTAGTTCTTTAATATACTATTCTCTATATCTAAAGGTCTTAATTATATAGTAAATTATTTTTCCATTAAGGGTTGCTATGATTTGTCCATATTTTTTGTAACAATAATATTCTATTAGCGACAACTGCCATTATATTTAAATTAACCCATTCTTAGATGGAATGGAATGGATTAAACCCATTCTTAGATGGAATGGACTATATGAAGATGTAGTCAATTTACAAAGAATTTTAACAGTGTACCACACAACACAAAAGTAAACCAAACCAAAACAAAACCCGAGACAGATATTGGCATGAAATCGATACTCCAGCATACAGTCGCATCTAAGTCACATCTTTTCCAACCCAGTAGGCTCTTTGGTAACGCGATCCGGGCTACGTGCCATCCGACTCCTGTTACCGCATTATAAACGTTGAAATTGTCCGGAATCAACGCCAATGTAATGCGATAGTTTGAGCATCATCCACAGATATCCTGATATAATAGGTGTGCACACACAATGGAAGTTGAGGGTGCTAACAATTTGTTTCTTTGATGATACAGTTTAGTCAATTGGATCGATTTAGGTAAAATTCTTCCAAATTTGTTGTCAAGGTTTTATTGGAACGCCCTTTATAATGTAATCGTGACAGAAACAATACATTATTCTCCTTCCCTTGTGAACTGAGACATCATCTTTCAAAATGAAACTGGAGCTTAAATCAAGCGCGACGATTTTATACCAGCATATCCTGCCCGCTCCCGAATCATCAATCATATCACGCTTCCTGTTTGCATACCGATATACAACCTTGTAACATCCCATGAAGGGCCATAAATTCACTTAAAGGATTCAAAACGTAAAGGGGAACATGAAACAGCATTTTTAAGGATACCTATTAACATATAATTTTTTCCTCTGAAAAACTGAATAAGATTCAGCTTATATAGTCATAAAGAGCATCAACAGTAGTGAGATGTAAACGCATGTAAACATCTCACTACTGTTGATGTTCTTTATGACTATAGTCATAAAGAACATCAACAGTAGTGAGATGTTTACATGCGTTTACATCTTACTACTGTTGATGCTCTTTATGCTCTTATATATATATAAGCTTAATCTTACTCAGTTTTTCAGAGGGAAAATTATATGGTGATGGGTAATGGGTATATAATATATTATGTATAATATACATTGTATATGTACGAGGTGTGTTCAGAAAATATCGGGAATTTTCGTTTTTTGAAACAAATATTTATTTATTCGTCTACATTAATGTTGTCACCTTCAAAATAGTCCCCATTGGATATTATGCACATGTGCCAGCTCTTCTTCCAATACTCGAAACACTTCTAAAACTCGATCTTTGGGATAGCCTTTAGTTCTTTCAGCGATGCGCTTTTAATGTCATCTATGCTTGCAAAACGACAGCCCTTTAAGGTTCTCTTTATTTTTGGGAATAGGAAAAAGTTAGACAGAGGCATGTGTGGTGAATATGAAGGCTGGGGCATCATTACAGTATTGTTTTTGGCCAAACATTTTGTTCAAAATTTAACAATTTTAGAACAAATTTTGCTGCCACGCGTTTCATACCCAAAACATTCGAAAAAATTTCATGGGATGAGCCAATTGATATACCAACATCAGCGACTTCTCTGATGGTTTATAACCATTTCTTCCACTTTTTCCATGTTTTTATCAGTTGTTATTGTGCTTGTGCGTTCGGGGCGTTCGTCATCTTCAACGTCTTCACGGCCATCTTGGAAACTCTTATACCACTTGTAAACTCTTGTTCTACTTATAGCAGACTCACTATAGGCCTTTGTTAACATTTCACAGAATTTATTTCATTTTTTAAGCAAAATTGGATACAAATTCTTTGATCCATTTTTTTTAACGAACGAAAAATCGCCGAGCTCATAAAACACGTCTAACCTTAGCGGCTGCCACAGACAAAGTAAACAATATAAACATCTAAAGTTTTTATCATACTTCGGGGGCATGTATACCAACATAATAAAGAAAATTTTATGACAACCGGACCCTCCGAACCCGCGAAATTTAACAATTCCCGTTATTTTCCGAACACACCTCGTATATCCGGCAGATGAAAATACGGTTTAAGGATTTGTGACATAAACAGCTTCTGATTACTTACTTGCAAATCTGGGATCAGCTGCTGAGCTTTGGTACCATCCCGAGGAGTAGTGTGGGGCAAGTCCTAAGTTTTCGGATACAGGACAATATTGCCCGCCGCCGAATTGGCTCATAACGGGGTATCCGCCGTTCATACTGCAGCCTGTACTGCCTGTGCCAGCCGCTCCCGGGGAGTTTATACTGCTACCGCTAGAGGTAGATCTGGAAAAAAAATTCCTTGTTGTTTTTTAATTTTGATAACAATATTGATGTAATTAGGATTGGGACAGTTGAAATTTTCAAATGAAAATTTCAACTTTCATTTAGTTGGAAAAGTGAAATTTTTAAAAATTTCCAATGAAATTTTCAATTCGAAAATTTCAACATTGCCTGTGAAACTTTCAGAAATTTCATTGAAAGTTTCGCAATTTACTGAAAATTTCGCATAAATTTCACATGCGGCCTCCCCTGGGACCTTTAATAATAATTTACAACAGATTCCGAATCGACCAATAAGAACGAGTTATCAAGCGTCTGGGCGTTTTTGTTTAGTTCGGCTTGGATTTGAATACACTATAAGTAATTATTGTTACTTATATGCATAAATTAATTTAAATAATTTAATTCAGTTACCAATTTAATTTGTAAATTAAATCAGACTTTAAAATTTTTTTAAAAGTCATGATTAATTTAAACTTTTACTTTTGCTATAATTGCATCGGAAAACGGATAAAAAATGCCTTTGGCTCATAAAATCTTGATGAAGTTTCTTCAATTTTTGTAAAATTTCAGTAAAATATATAAAAATAATAAAAATATATAAATATAAAACAATGAAAGTGGCACAATCTCATTAGCTTACCAAAAAGTGCTATATCTTTTAGTTTTAGTAATTTTAAAAATATTTAAAAGGAAATCTCAAGAAATTTGTGGTAAACATAGGTATTTACTATTTATATTATTGGTGCAGGGGCCCACAGAGGGGTAGGAGGTAAGAGAGGCAATTTTCCATGGTCACTGAGTGGGCTTATTTCAATATTAATATATTACACTTAAAGTGATGGAAATTTATTGAAAGTTTCAATAAATTTCAAGTAAAATTTCAAGTACAAGCAAAAAGTGAAATATTCCCAACTCTAGATGTAATAGACTTCTTTACCTGTAGGGTGAGGGTGGGTTGGCGGCCAATTCCAACTTCCTGTAGGACTCTTCTATGGGGCTGAGGATGTCGGTGACGCTAAAGGGTGTGGAGTGGTGGAGTTGCTGAAGGTGACTAAGAACCTGGGGGCCTCCTTGATGATGTTTGGGGCTAAGGCTCATAGCCAGTTCGACCCCATTTAGCTCGGGCAACAACCCGTGCAAGTCTGTACGGTCCTGAAAATATTTCAAAAAAATGTTGTTCTGTAAAGATTGGATGTATCCAATTCTGTATTGTTCAGTCTATAGATATAGGAAAATATAAAGTAGTAAGTATACAAAAATAAAAACCGTGTCTTTTATTAAAATATTGGTTCTATTTTTTATTAATGGTATTTTATGTATCAAGTATGATAAACGCCATTTTAGGCCCACGAGCTTGCGAACGAGTGCTTAATTAAATAGTGCCTAGAAAAATTTATAAAGAAGTTGACAAATACTTAATATTATCTAAAATATGATTTAAATTAAATATTTAAAGCGACATCTATACGAAAATAAAGTAACCATCCCAATAAACATTTTTAAATTTTCACCATTAACATTGCTCATTATTATTTTAATTAAACTAAACTCTAACTTTCTCCAGCTTTAAATTCTCAAAATTTTCTCTTCAAATCAAAATTTTTCCCTTTAAAATAGACACACAATTATTATAGAAGCAGTTTTTCACAGTAAAAGAGAAGAGAATGTTTTATGGGCACTGTGCGCAAAATTGTTAACGCTTTATCAGTTAAATCTAGTTAACTGCACTATTACGGCGAAATCAAAAGGTCAGTACAAACGTTCATATAATCTTTTCAAATATTGGCGTCAAGAAACCATGTAAGTACTTTTGTATTTTTGTATTGAGATCATAAAATAATTTTCCCATTTAGTATTATTTTTCAAAAAAGGCACTTTATTTTAACAATTGTATGACATTTTACAACTGCCAAATAACTTCAGCTTGTGACTAAAAACCTGTTGCTAACTTCAGCCCGTGACTAAAGCGCCATAAAGCAACAACTTGTCAAAGTGGAATGGAAACATGTAGGTACTATAATGATAATGGGCGTTTTAAAGGTGGAAGTAGAAAAACAGTTTAATTATAGGAATGATATGTACATATGTATACTTAGTTAAATCCAGTAATTAAATTCTATAGGGAGGAAGGTGCCTATTTACGTTTATAATTTAATATGTATTAATTAAGAAATACTTTTTTTGTACACCTACTTTTTAAAGAAACTATGTGGGTTTAAATTAAACATATTTTTGACATTTGATTGGTGTTAAGAAGCTATTATTATTTTAAAAATACATCTTATACCTACCTATGTATTTAAATAGGTAATCTTAGTTTTGAATTTTACATTTATAGGTTTTAGCAAATTTTTCTACCCATAAAATTATGGTAAAATAACGTTGAATATTTTTATTATTTTTAGTAAATTTTTTGGATTGTGTAAAATTGGTTCTAAAAATTCCTTTTTTTAAATTTCACCTCTTAACATGAAGTACCTACTTTCGAAATTTGACGGTATTTTTTTCAATTAATTTTTGTTGTTGATATACTTACAGAGTGTTTTCTTATAAATGGGAAATTCCTATAAAATCTTTTTGAGAAGAGATATCAAAAAAATTTAAAATCCACCTTGCATGCTTGCATGCTTGGTTTAAAAAATAATTTTAATTTCGACAAAAATTCAAAAACAAAAAGCATCGGTAAATTTAATAGAATAGCATTGTTTTGTCAATGAAGCACCCTGTATATTTTTAAATATTTAAATGGAGTTTTTTCCTCTGATTTTAAAATTACATATATTATATAGTTTATAGATAAATATTTGTGGTATGTGTTATGTTTACAACTGACCCGAAAATTATGCTAAAAACTCGAAAATCAAGGTTGCCATGGAATAATTATTAGCGTTTTGTTAAATATTAATAATAAATCCATGACAATTACGATTTTTACGTCATGTTTTTCTTTCAATTATTAATAAAATATTTTTTCTGATAGCTGAGAATTTTTCACAAAAAATATGTAATTTTTACGATAGGGTTTTTAAATACTTAAGTCATTTTAAGTATTTTTTTTTCAAATAATTGAGGTTATGCATTTGTCAGTTTAGCACTAATTTTGTCTTATATCCTTCAAATATATTATAATATATAATTATTATAATATAATATTTAGGTTTTCTGAACATAAACTAAGAAGTTTGTACAAAAATACGTATGCACCAATCTATATATCTTATATTATTTAAAAAAATGGCTTTAAACTGACTGATGTATAATCTCAATTATTTGTAAAAAATTATTTACAATTACTTTATTATTTAATTGTATCTAAACAAAAAAAACCTCATCGTAATAATTACATATTTAATGTAAAACAATCTCAGCATTAAAAAAATATATCAAATTTGAAATAAAAATTGACGCAAGGCCAGAAAAATCGCATTTTTCTATGAGGCGCCGTTTGTCCGTAAATTATTTTTGCTTTATATAAGAATATTTTTTATATATAAACTTTAAATTTCCTATATATATAGAAACTTTTTAGTTCAGATAATGCCGCTTGAGAATGAGGGCGCTTAACTAAAAAGCACTGTTGCCAGAGTGTGCCAATGCAAAGTTTTGGTCAGTGTTTCCAACATAACGGATCTTCGGCCAGATCTAGCGGAACAAAATGATAGCAAAAAGTATAGGATTTTAGTTTTTTTTAATACTTATAGGTAAATATTGGCATATACCTATATACTATAACTTATATATATGTATATTGGTCGGTCGGTCTATTTTTATTGAAGAAAACATTTCTCTTCTTTGGCCGTCTCTATTTCTCTAAATAAACACGGTTTCGTTTTTACTAATAGGTATTAAAAAAAAAAATTTCTTACGTTTTGCTTCTCTTGTCAATTTATAAAAAAACAAAGAATTTTTTTTTAAACTTGGACTCTTACAAATTATATTATATAGGTAAAAATCTTATGACAAATACCATTCGATATTATGTTCAAGTTTCCGTTAAAAAATCCGTCAGCCGTAGTGCTCATTCATAATGGACGTAACCATAAGATGCCCGTAAGAAATACATAAAACGTAAGAACTACATAAAACGTAATGTTGAATATTAACAAAACCAGTGTGCCTGTTTATAATGAATAGCCGTAATTTTTACGTTTTACGTTCGAACATAAAAGTATCTTTTTTCCCTCGACCTTTATTAAAATCTGCCAGATCTGGCGAAACGTTACATTGGAAACACTGACCAAAACTTTGCATTGGCACACTCTGGCAACAGTGCTTTTTAGTTAAGCGCCCTCATTCTCAAGCGGCATCATCTGAACTAAGTTTATATATAAAAAATATTCTTATATATAGGAAAAATAATTTACGGACAAACGGCGCCTCATATTTTTCACTTCCAACTTATAATATATTTATTCCTAAAAATAAATAATTTTATTTAAAAGCTAATAAATTTTTACAAAAATCAGTACTGCTTGTATTTTATAAAAAAAACATTATTTAGATAAAAAAATAATAAAAAGTTTAAAACTAATTTCGTCAAAGTCTTAGTATTAATAGCTCAAATATTATCATTATTTTGATGTATAGAGAATAATTCCACAAAATCCGCGTGCCGCCTATATTTCCCATAAATTACTATGATTTTTTTCCATAACATTTTTGTTATATTTAAGGTGCAGGAAAATTACTAATGGTTCATAATATTTTTTGTCCATTAAAAAGTTTACTTCTCATGATTTAACATCAAGAGGCTCTAAAATAAACAAATAATAAAATTATCAAAATGCCATTTCTTTATTTTAAACCGTATACACTTTTTTGCCATTGCGTTGGAATTTAATAAAATTGTAGAAAATATTATATTTTTCTGCGTATAGCTAGCTTGAAGTTTATAGACTTTCTCACATTTTTTTATATTACAAATTTGTATTAGGCAATTTTAAATCAAATTTGTAAATAATTAATTTTAATTTCTTATTTTTGGTTAAAACGTTGTTTTAAATATTTAATATAAGAATCAAAATAAATAAATTAACGTTTTTTTGTTTTCATTACAAAGATTTTTAAAATTTTCCAGTCAACGGTTAGTTTTTTGCAAAAAATAATAAAATTTAGACAAAATTTAAAATAAAACAAAAATCTCTTTATAATTATCTTTAAACAAAACAAAACCATATCCTAGTATAATATAAAGATATTTTTAACCAGTTGGATTTTTGGATGTATAGTCATTGACTTCAAAGTCATCTAATGACAGCTTCCATCTCCTCAATAGTTAATAGTCTCTAAAATTTTAAAAGATAAGAATAATAATTTATACCTATAGGTATAAATTATTATTATGCATCAAAATCAACTATAGTTGATTTTGATGCATACTTGAATAGATGCTTTTTCCAATACCAATTAAATTGGATCTTTGCTAAGGTTCTTGCTCTAAGTGTTTACAAGTTAAAGCAAGTTAAAATTCATCACTTTTACGTATTTTTGTGACTGTCATATATTTTAATTACGCTCAGTTTTTTTTGACAGTCAGACATTTAAATTTAAAAAAATTAATGACAAGGGTGTCATAAAAATAAATGACATGACCGTCATTTTCATTATGACCGTGACATGACATTGTCATAAAATTTGCTTACATCCCTTCCTGCGACGCGTCGCGACGGTAAAAACTTCCATATCAAAGAGTGAGATTTTATTTACTTTTTAATCAAAAAAAATGTCACCGAAAAATATAGTGCACATTTTTATATTTTTGTCAGAAATTTATGTTAAAATCTACAGTGGGGGCATTCCACGTTACTCGGTAATTTTTGTCCCGCCCGTCACAATTAAAAATTGTGAGTAAAAACCACAAGTTATTAAATTAATATTTTATAATATTTTTTTTATTGTGCTTATAACTTATTAAAAGCATAATAAACAATATTTTTAAATAAATTTTATAACGTGGAGTTTTTACTCACAATTTTTAATTGTGACGGGCGGGACAAAAATCCCCGAGTAACGTGGAATGACCCAGTGGTGGCTGGTGGATTTTGGGTATACCGATATCTCAAATATTAGATATGGGACCCACACCAAATTTATATGAGTTTATAATGCATTAATGACATTCAACATATAAATGTTTATTTAATGCTCATATAAATTTGGTGTGGGTCACATATCTAATAACTGAGATATCGGTATACTCAAAATCCACCAGCCGCCACTGGGTACCTATAAATGTAACTTTTAAAAATAAAATTTATAATTTGTCTAGGATACAGTAATGGGTTACCCATTATGGGTAACTGCACATTTGTATTTTTATTATAACTAAATTTACCTAGGTGGGTAGGTACAAACATAAATAAATATTTGAATATAACTTTTAGACTATTTGCCTACTTTTGAAAGTGATATTTTTTCAATCTTAAATAGAACCATTATCTTAATCAAAAACATTTCAAGATAGTTCAAACTATCGGAACTTTTAATGATTTACATAAACTCAATCTAGGTAGGTACCTACACTCTTAAAATGAATTAGTCAAAAATGACTAGTTTTCAAAGTAAAAAATCAGTCACTAAAAACTGTAGTCCACAGCAAATTGTTATGTAAAATTGTCCCCTGAATCCGAAAAGACCGTCAAAAATAATGAAAGTAGAGCAGTTTTTTAGATATATATAGTAAATTTCATATTATATGAAAAATTACTATACTATATTTAAAAAACTGTTCTACTTTTATAACTTTTGGCGACATTTTCCGATTCAGCGGATAATATTTTATCTAGAAATTGACTGCTAAATGTCCGGGATACAAATTGCTGTTGACGAGAATTAGTAGTGGCTGCATTTTTGACCAATTCATTTTTAGAGTGTAACTATTAAATAACTACTTAAATTGGTTTAAAAAAAAATCTACATACCACAGGGCCTTCCCCGTAGCTGGCCGTCTGAGACATGGACTCCACGACTACACGTTACTATTGCACCTTTCCACAACAAAAAAAAAACTAAAAAACCAAAACTAAAAAATATCACCACATCAAGTCACCAGTTTCCGACCGCGACGGCCCTCGAACTCGAAAAAAAAATCCAACCGCCCGACTCGTTACGACTTCCGTTCGAATCGTCGACCGAATTCAATAAACAAACTGACTAACTATATAAATAAATCAGTAATCGAAGTGAGCTATGCCACTCTTTAAAGCACTCTTAAACGTATATAAGAGTCTTAGAGACGAAAGAGCGCTTAACTCTCCTAAGCGTACTCGGTAAGTGTACTCAAAATCTACATGGCACTCTAGGTAGAGCACCGCGGCGTTCGGGGCCCTCGAGGGCGTGGCCTCGGTCTCGGCGGCCAATGGGAGCGCCGGATGGCTCCATGGCGCAACGCCTGGCAACGCAAGCGACTCCAATCCGAAGCGACAGATCCGATAGAGGCGAGAATCAGGGCGGCCTTGCCGCGATTTCGGCCTTATCGGGTCGCGCAGGTAAGTGCGTTTTTTATTTCGGGGCGAAGGAAAATTACCGGTTTTTCGTCCCGCCTCACTCATCGACCTATTGTAACGGTCCTTGAGAACACTAGATCCCCCTCTTTAAAATGTGATATTGTATATTTATATCGTTTTATTGGGTATATTGATCTAAGATACTTTTATGTTTGAATCGTTTTTTGTTTGGATTAAGTAATGGTGGCCGTAGTGGCGAAAATTATCATAATAAAGGCGAAATGATCTTGTTTTTGTTGTTCGATGGGGCACTGGATGGAAAGAGTTGATGGCAGTCAGAGATGTGTGAAGGAAGGATCTCTTGAAGGGCTCATGGGTTTTAAGTAGTATTGTTCGGGTGTTAAAAAAACAAATACCTATAAGTAACCCACTGATAAAGGTACAAATTTAGAAATAGGTACCTACCTATCTATTAAAGGTATATTATATACAGTGTGTTTAATTTTCATTGGCGACAATTCTGTATTTAAATTGACAGATTACAAAAAAATATTTTTAGTTTGTAGTGGCCCTCTATGATGAATGGAAGGTCTCCAAAAACGTGAGGCATTTTTTAAAATTAAAAATGTTTTTGAATTTGGCATACCCAAAAACCCCTAAAAGGATAATTTTTTAATAAAAAGTAAGATCAAATTTGGAATTTTTTCAAACACTCAGCACAGATTTTGCAAAACATTCTGCAATTTTTCTAGGTATTACACGAACTACACTGTGTATAGTTCATTTATAAATATTATACCTCTAATTAAATTAATATTTTTGTTTAAAATACATTATTTTTTATAATTAACACTTTGTATAAGCTAGATTAACAAAACTAAACCAATGTGTAGTCTATAATTTTTGACCTTAATTTGTGAACACTCTGTATAAGCTAGAGTAAGAAAACTAAAGAAATGCATGCTTTTTTTTCCAAATTTGATCTTACTTTTTGACCATCCTGTATAAAATTTTATTACAAATTATCGTTTTAGGGGTTTTTATAACCTATACGCAAAATTCATTTAAAAAATGCCTAATAACTTTTGAAGTTGTTGGAGTTTTCCTATTAATCATAGAAAGCTATAAAAACGACTAATAATTTTTTTCTTCAAAAGATAGAGCTTTTTGATTACTACAAACTAAAATTATTATATATTTTTTAATCGGATTACACTAGTAAACAATAAAAAAAGGTCGGTAATTAAAATAGCTCAGTCCTATAGATTTTGACCTGCTCGACGCAAATCCGGCGCCCAAAAAATTTTCCGAAGTCTCGTTTAGACGATACGGGCAGGACCATGATACAAAGAAAAATTGTTAAATAATAACGATAAAAATTAGTAAATAAAAAAGGTCGGTAATAAAAATAGCACACTCCTATAGATTTTGACCTGCTCGACGCAAATCCGGCGACCAAAAAATTTTCCAAAGTCTCGTTTAGACGATACGGGCAGCACCATGATACAAAGAAAAATTGTTAAATAATAACGATAAAAATTAGTAAATAAAAAAGGTCGGTAATAAAAATAGCACAGTCCTATAGATTTTCACCTGCTCGACGCAAATCCGGCGGCCAAAAAATTTTCCAAAGTCTCGTTTAGACGATACGGGCAGCACCATGATACAAAGAAAAATTGTTAAATAATAACGATAAAAATAAGTAAATAAAAAAGATCGGTAATAAAAATAGCACAGTCCTATAGATTTTCACCTGCTCGACGCAAATCTGGCGACCAAAAAATTTTCCAAAGTCTCGTTTAGACGAAACGGGCAGCACCATCATACAAAGAAAAATTGTTAAATAATAACGATAAAAATAAGTAAACAAAATAATTTGAACGATAAAAAACAGTAAACATCAAAAAACATGCCTTAAATTTTTACAATATGTACAGATATGTTGTTCATGGAATGCTGAAATATAAGTTAAAAGTAACGTCATCCTAAAATTTTCAAATGGTGTATCTATGCAATAAATGGTACCAAAATACTGTGCTCCTATTTTTTATTTACGACTTCAGAAAATTTTTTTAAAACATTTTGGATCTATTTCAGTCATAAACAATCGAAAAATTCTATTTTTAACCAGGACCTTTTTTTAAGTTAAAATTTGTTGCCTAGTGTTATTTTTAAATAAATACCGAATTGTCGCCACTCTGTACCCTCTGTACACTCTATTACCTATAGAAAACTTATAACAATTTTAAATTCCTATATAAAATAAAGCAATGCAGATGAAATTAAATTAATTAATTAGTTCATTACTCCATTTAAATTTGCAAAAATGGCGAATGCGCCGGGATTAATCAATTAAATTGCAATTCAGTTGGCTTCCTTGAAACTAACTTTTTAAGTAGGTAAGTATTTCGTTTTTTTATTCGGAATTTAACACATTTGATTATGTAAATCAATAACTTTGGATAATTTTTAATAAAATATAAAAACTAGAGAATTCTCTCTACTTATAGAAAATCTAAAGATAAATATAGATGTTATTTTTCTATAATTATCAAAATAAATTAAAGTGAGGATATTCCCATAAAACTTACACCCCTCTAACTTTTCCATCGTCCCGACGCGTCGGCAGTTTCCACGGTTCCGATAAAGTATTCCAATATTTTCAACAAATTCGTTATTTAAATCATTTTCCGAAAATTATCCAGTTAAATCTTGTTAAAGAAAATGAATTCGGATCCCCATTTTTCTGCGAATTTACTAAGCCCAGAAAAAGTTTTTGGCGCTTGGTTCCTTTTTGATAAGCGGTATCCATATAAGATATTTACGAAAAACCAATTTAACACCCATTTGCCCCATTTGCGGACCCATGTTTTTTGAATGAATTTGTTTTCTTAAAATCACGCAAATCTGTTAAATTTAGGGTAGCGAGTAAGTGTAAAAAATTGAATTAAAGTTTTATGTTCTGGGGTTTATCCCTGCTTAAGTAGAAACTAATTTGTGACATATTTTTATTTTTTAAAATCAAGTATACCCTCATAATATACAAAAAAGTGATTTTTGACATAATAAAGTACCTTTCCAAGATATGACAAAATTTTATAAAGAAAAGTTTTTCAGAATGACCATGCTTAAAAATCTAAAAAAAATTTAGTTTCAGGAAATTTTAAAAATTTACCTTTTTATTTCGAACTTATTAAGCCTCATTCAGACCTCGTAATTAGTGGAAAAAATTAATGGTTTCAATTATACTTATAATTAACACAAAACGATCATTCGCAATGCACAAAATTAACATCTAAAATTAAGGGAATTTGCTAAAAGATCGTCAATTTTTCTTAACCTGACATAAACAATATTAATTATATTAAAATAATATTTTGTACAACCATTACAATAATATTTATATAACCTTACCTTCACTGGCAAATCTTCAAACTTTTTGCTTTTGACATAAAATATCCGCGCACATGCGCAAAGTCGCTTTCCAATTATAATTAGTGGTAAAAGTTAGAAGTTTGCAAACTTTTTCCACTAATTGAAAATTTACTACCACTAATTTTTTGGTTGTGAACAACACTGTTTATATTCAAACTTTTACGTTAATTGAAACCACTAATTTATTACACTAATTACGAGGTTCTGAATGAGGCTTTAAAACTATTTTTTTAAATATTAGAAAAAGTTGTTTCTCATGATAAATTACCTACATAGTTTTTCATTAATTTTTACTTTTGTTGCAAAAAAGAAAATTCTTTTTTTACAAATTCTGACACAGTTTTTTAAAGATTTTTGTTAAATTAAAAAAATTACATTTGACGGAATTTTTATAGAAATGTTATTATGTTGATATTTATTAAAAAAAAATATGTAACGTATATGTCCTTTACATTTTAAGATTTAAAAATCGGCATTTTAATGAAAATCATCCTCTCATAATCAGAACCTTGGCTTCGCCCCTGTTTATGGACTTTAATTTTATTTTTACGTTTGTTTAATAAAATAATGGTATATTATGTATCAAGTTTGAGAAACGCCATTTTAGTCACGAATTTTAATTAGGAGTGTTTAATTAAATGAGTGTCTAAAAAAGTTTATAAACGAATTGCTTACTATACTTTTTCTACGACAAATACTTATTATTATCTAAAAATGATTTAAATTAAATATTTGTATAGAGCGACATCTATAAAACAATAGAGTAATCAACTTGTAAATCTGCATTACCGGCGCGCTGGTAAAAATGTCAAATTTTTATATGTAAATCGAAATTTATCCCTTGAAAATGAACCAACAACAGTTTTTCACAGTGAAAGTGAAGAAAATATTTTATGGGCACTCCACGGTGGAGTCTCCACCCGAAATTAAGTTAAATCTAGTTTACAATGTTCAAATAAATTTTTTAAATATTGTCGTTAAAAACTACTCTATTTAATACATTTTGTATTTTTGTATTGAGATAATAAAATAATTTTTACATTTAGTACTATTTTAATGTTTGTATGACATTTGAC